GCATTATACGGTTTTTCTTTTAAGTCACCACGTAGTACCTACTTTCAGATGATTGTAATATTATTGTTGTTATTATACTATTATTTTAACAAAACTTGTATTTATTTAAACCACCTATCCAAGTATCGTTAACCTATGATTTCATTATTAAGTCACWAGATGGCGACACATGACAATGGATTTTTATTCAATTTATAATCTTGGACATAATAATATATCTAAGGTTAAAAATCATTGCATTATTATTTTATTAAACAAAACATTCAGATAATACGTATATTGTAATAATAAATTAGTATTTATTTTACAATTGAAATAAATCAATGTATAGAATTCTGTTGTTAAATCATTTCCAGATGTAAAATAGGTATTGAAAAAGTTTAAACTACCTATGATAAAATGTTGATCAAAAAACATAATATAAAAATTTAAGACTTGTTCTACATAAATAATACTATACTTAACTAGTTCAACTTTAATATTTCGTATATTAATAGTTATGTTATTCTTATTACTTATAATTTAATACCTACTTATGAGTCTTTTCGTTYTTCATTCACTCACTACCAGTGTATTCGTATAATAGTTATTAGCCAATATAAAGTTATCAGTATTAAATTWTTTTTATACTGAAGAGTGGATTATAGTTACTCTTCGACTGCATCAAAACAGTGTCCAAGTGAATCATATAAAAAGGGTTTTTTTGGGGTAAATGGACACATTTTAAATTTTACTTTAGGATGACTCTCAAGTACCTAATTGTGTTACTGATCCAACAATCCATCTTTCATTGAAAAAGAACTTCAAAAAACCTATGAAAATTATAATATTATTAAAAGAAACGTTAAATACATCGTTTATGGAATTCGTCATCATTGCAAAGATTGAACAACTATAATATTCCAAACGATTGGAAGGAGAGGAAGCACTTAGGTACTAAATATTATAGACTGTTATTCGATATAATATAAAAGGTGTTAAACTATTACCAAAACGTATATGATTAATTTAAAGTTTAAACTTAAATTTTTTATGAATTTTATATTTGTAGGTATTAAGGGCGACATAATATTTTGAGGTCCTTATTATAAAATCAATGTACCTAATATATTTTTATGTTTTTTTTTTTTTTTATAAGTTCAAAGAACTAACATAGGTACAAGAATTCAAGACACAAGTACATAACACTATGCATTGTAAAGTGATGAGTAATGTCTAGTGAATCCAGATATACAATATACGTAACGTCATACGGAATAAGAATTTTCGAGTAAAGGGCAARCACGTGACCTATTTTTTTTCTCAAAAATATACATTACAGGAAAATCTCGTTCACGTCGAAGAATGATCCGATTTCGATAATTTTTTTTTTGTCCAAAAGAGATACACTTTTTACAGTGCACAATGGAATTAGATTTTGAAAATTCTGTTTTGAAAACCATACAATACGATTTTGAATTTGGCCAATTCTCTCCTATTTTGGTATATTTCTATGTTTATTTTAACTGTTTTTAAATTAAAAG